AGAAGGTGTTGTGGAAACCAGAAATCTCAAGGATCTTGACGAACACACTACTGATGTCAATGGCACAAATATACATCAAGGTATATGCAGATGGAGTTTTGATTTGCTTGGTGGGCATGTCTGGCCTATGTCATAAATTACATGACCCGTTCCGGTTTATCGGGTCAACTCAATACCAATACCGGGTTCGAAATGGTTTTTAGTATTATAATAATGATTATATTTTTAAAGTGTTTTTTAAATATATTAAAATATTAAAATCATTTTTTTTAATCAAAATCAATGTTTTACATGTATTTTCTTTTTATTTAACCAAAATCTAACTAGTTTCTCTCTCTCAAACCATAGATCAAACATAATTTTTAAATCCGATCTAGATTCCAGATTTTGACCGGGTCATCAAGTCGGCCAGGTTAATTCCTATCTTAAAAAACTCAAAATAACATCAGTTTAGTAAAAAAAAAATCAATAAATTACAATTAGATTTTTTATTGGGTTTTGCCAATCAATCAAGTCAACTCTCCATGTTAGTCAGGTTATACTAAATCATGATTTTTTTTTATTTTTTCTTTAACTCGACTTAGTTCTAGCCTCAGGTTTGTTGGATCTTGAGTCAATCCACCGAGCTGGATTTTAAAATTATAGATTTAAAATAAAAGTGAAATTCTCATGCTAATTTTGTAAATACCATTGTATTTTTCTTTTCTTTTTCACTTTGTTTATGTCTTTAAATCTTACTGTTCTTTAACAAATTTACTTAAGTTAACCATTATAATGAGAATTAACAAGCAAGATCCATTGCATTTGTTGATCATAACAATTATACAAGCAATGATTAAATATCTTATGCTAAAGTAAAAGCCTGCTAAAGTAAAAGCACCAGGACTCTTCTTAGTTTTTATTAATTGGTGTATTTTGTTTATATTCCAAATATGAGTGCACTAGTTTGAGTTAGGATTTTTGTGACATGAAATTAGGTTTTTTAAAGTAAATTTTTTAAGTTTTCTTTGGGATTTATTATGAGATATGAGTATAGATGGCTCTTTAAAAGATATCAATAATAATAAGCAAAGCATCATTGATAACAGGAAATATCAAATCAAAGGTATAATTTTAGACTTAATAAGCTATTTAATAATAAATAATGGCTTGATAAATATCTAAAACTTGATCAAAAGAGTAATATAAAATTGAATTTTTAAAAAGTAATAAAATTAAGAATAATCTAAAGTTATATTAAAATTGAAATAAAAGGTGACAAACTACAATGCCATAATTGTGTCTAGTTTCAAAAAAATCAATGCATGTATATTAATTTTTTAATTATTGTTTTAATAAATAAAATTATTCCTCAACCTTCCAACTCATTCATTTTCGACAATAATAATATTTGTTATTAGGATAATAGTTATTTTTAAAAATTTATTTTTAATATAAATATATTTAAATAATTTAAAAATATTTCGGAAAACAATAAGAGGTATAATTGAAGTGATATCAGGTTTGCAAATTGCAAGGGTGCACGCTTGAGTTGACCTATTTAACCACAATGGTACATTATTCCAGCAGGAAAACAGGCTCATATACAATTATTTCTTTAGTTATTTATTTTAGTAGGCAATTTACAAGTGGCCCCTGAGTTTTAAAACCCCCATTCGCTTTAATATATTATTTTGTTTTTGTTTTTTTTTTTTTAATGCTGTTCAACTCACTAGAAAAGGCAAGATAGGGACGTGGAATACAAGTGGAATAAATAAATAAATAAAAAAGCACAGGAAAATCCTGATTTCGATTTCCCGCACATTCGGGTTCAATGTATTTTCTACGGTATACTCTCGGATATAAACATAAATTATATAAAGAAATAAAAATACCATAACATAAGTTACGTAACATAATAATATCTATATAATTTTAAAATTCAACCCGAGATTTGACCCATGACAAAACTTAAGTTATGAAGGATTGACCCAATAAAAAAAGAATTAAATTAATATTATTTTAGCAAAATAAAAATTAACAAATTAATGCCTAAGTTTTTTTTTTACCTTGAATGGAACGTCTTTGTTCGCTAAATCCTAAATTAACCCACTAGACAAGTTGGAATTTTAAAACAATGTATCCACAGTATTAGTCAAAATATGGATTTTTTTATGCATAGAACAACTATTTCATAAATGCTCACTATTCTAAAAAAAAAACACTCAAATTATCCAAATCAAAATAAAAGGTAATTTTTTATAAAAAAAAAATCAGAGAACGGGTAATTTGGACTTAAATGGACTAGATCTAATTTTTAGCTAATTAATTGTATTTTTTTATTAGGTAAACAAATTAATGGAAAAAATGGCTACAAAATCCATAAAAAGAAAAAAATTTCTAACAATAAAGGATAATAATCCTAAATGATAAATTTTATCAGAATTAAACAAATACTAAATATGATATATGACAAGTTTAATATTATACTAATGACTATTTTTGAAAAATATTTTTTATTTACAAATATATCAAAAAAAAATTTAATATTTATTTTTAACATTAATATATAAAAAAATGATAAAAAATTAATTAAAAATAAAAAAATTATTAAAAATTATTTTTAAAATACAAAAACAAGCAATCTCTAATAATATAATTTTATCTTGCATTAAATTATCAAGTTATTGTCAATTTGAGAAGGAGAAAACAAATTTCAAGTGCAGCGGTTTGTGTCCGAAATTAGACAGCGATAATTACCACTGTTCATGGCAATCAAACCATGACTTTTAAAAATATCATCCTAAACAAAAGGAAACCTCCATCAAGGTGTTGTGGAAACCAGAAATCTCCAGGATCTTGACGCACATACTACTGATGTTAATAGCAAAAAAATAATAATTATTATAATATTAAAAATTATTTTAATTCAAATATTAAGCTGATTTCACAAACTAGAACAAATCATCATGTAATTATAATATAAGCCAGACATTTCCAAGTAAAACTCCAATTGTATTTACCTGAAAAAGTTCAGCTTATATCATAATTTCATGATCCAGTCAGTTTATCAAGTTAACTTAATATTTGAATTAAAATAATTTTTAATATTATTATAATAATAATTTTTTAAAGTGTTTTTTAAATATATTAAAATAATATATTTTTTATTTTTTTAAAAATTATTTTTAATATTATTAAACTAAAACAATTTAAAAACACTAAAAACAAAATTAATTTAAAGCAAACAGCTCATCGCTTCATGCCCGCCCCATTTGGGTGGGACACGTTCGACAGAGTATTTGCATATTTCAGTCAAAACAGCTCATTGCTTCATGTTTCTTTTATTTTGCTAGCTAAGCCACTCTGCAGAAGAAGCGCATGTGACTGGTGAGTTGTCCTCCTCCTCCTTCTAGAATTCTTGTCGCCGCCGGCCCTCGCGGCTGGCTGCTAATAACTTTTAACCTGGAAATATACTAATCTCAGGAGCACAAGCTTCCATGGGGAAGCGTCCATGCAAGGAAATGTTCTCTGTGGGGTCCGTGGGAGTGGTTCACCAATTTGCATGAGGCCTAAAATTAGGAGCCACATCTGTGGTGGGAGTGGTTCAACAAGTTCACAATAAAAAATAGAAAAAGAAAAAGTAGTTTGCTGGGAAAATACTAGAGGTGGTTTTGACGAGAGAAGAAATTCTAAAGAGGTGTGCAGCTGTAAGTCTTGGGATTTTTTATTTAATTCATTAATAACTAGGTTAGGTTTTTTAAAATGTTTTTTTAATATATTAAAAAAATATTTTTTATATTTTATTAAAATTATATTTTATATTAACATATCAAAATAATACGCGAGTGTACACACACTAAATAAAAAAAGAATCTTTCTTCTATACTTTCTTTTTTTTTTACTATTTTTTTTATTTTTTTTATTTCTTTTTTTTTCTTTATTTTTTTTAATTTACTCTTAATATATTAGTATTCTAATTAGTATTATGTAGTATTATAGTAATTTACTATTTAATTACTATTAATTAATTAATTACTATTATATTATTAATACTATATTAATAATATATTATTCTATTAATTATTATAATTTTTAATAGAATATTCTAATTTTAATATTAGAAATTAGAATTCTATATTTTTTTAATCTATTCTTTATTTTTATTTTTTCATTTCATTTGAAAAGTCTTTTTTATTTCCGCGTCTGTCTCATGTCATAGGCCATTTTTTATTTTTTGTTGCAATAAGTTTTGTAATATTTTCTGATTTTTTTGATAGTCGACAATTAAAATAAAATATTTTATTAATTTTTGTTATATCTATTGTAGCTGCTAAAACAGCTATCGAGCCGACTAACATGATTGAAGCTGTGTTCCCAAACATAATCTTCATAGTTAAATAAATAAATTTTTTCAGAGCTTGAATTTATTAAAAATAATTATTGAATATATAGACTACACATGTTTATTTATATGTATTCCTTTTATAAAAAAAATAATATTTAATAAAAAACTCATTTTTTAAAAGTTTTTCCTCTCTTTCACAGTAATAACAATTAACTTAACTAAGATTTTCTACTCGTTTAACTTCTTAGATGCTATCTTTTGTATATTTATCAATTACTTTAAAGTTAAATCTATATCATTCTCTTCTTTATTTTTATATTTTAAAATATTTTTTTAAAATTAATTTTTTTATTTTTTTACTTTAAATTAATATGTTTTTTTTATTTTTAGATAATTTTGATATATTGATATAAAAATAATTTTTTAAAAATAAAAAACTATTATTTTAATATATTTTTAAAAAATAAAATATTTTAAAAAATAAAAAATTATTATTTTAATATATTTTAAAAAAATAAAAAAATATTTTAAAAAGTAATCGATTGCATGAATCCTCTCCCTCCCTCCCTCCCTTTCTCCGGGAGGCAAAAAATACATGACGATATAATAATAATATATATATAAAAAAAAGAAGAAATAAAAACTCAAATAGAACTCCCTTTGTTAAAAACGACCTTTTCAAACTACTTTTTTACAAAAATCCAAACTATCCCATCATTATCATTGTCAAGAGCATTCAAATCTTCATCCATCTCTCCCTCTTCTCTCCTCCTCATTCCTAAAATGATTTAAATATAATATTTTAGTTTCAAATATTATATATTCGATTTCTTATTTTTAAATCCACTCAATTTAATTATAGTTTAATCCTTGTTTTTTGGATAAAACGCTGATTAATGAAGCATAATCAACATAGATTAAATGATTATTTATTTTTTAATTAGCATAGGGATTAAATATTCTCGCTTTAGCAATCAATAATAAATATTAAGCTATAATTAAATATTATTCATCTAGAACACCTCCTTAGACCAGGCATTCAAAAATAGTTGCTCTTCTTGACCGTTAAATAGTGGGGGTTCACAACGTGTCGGCATCCCATTAGTCAATTAAGACAGGTGGAGTTTCTTAGAAGGGGAAGACGGGGGCCCACCACAAGCAACATTGTTTTGCCACACGACACCTTAAAAGCTCGAGCACTACACGAAAACAAAGCACATAAAACTATTAAAAAAAAAAAAACACAGAGGATTTCCTTTTCTCATGTCCATTGGTTTCTCAGACATGAGATAGGGCATCCATTTCTCAGATTTCTCATTCAAGGTCAGTCTTTTTATCCTTCATCTTACTTTATAGTTGGAATTTCTATACTGGGTCCTTTTGAGCTGCTTGAAATGACTTAACATTTGCTTGTTTTTCGCCCATTTATCTGTCACTTCTTTCTGTGATAAAGAAAGACTTCTTGTACATCTCTTTTATGCTAACAAGGTGGAACATTTTTGTACTTTTGAGAATGTAAATGATGTGTTGATGTAGTTTGGTGATGAGTTTTCTCTTATTTTGCAGGGTTGTTGTGGATCTTTGAGTTCTTTCTATTGCATTGCCGGTTTCTGTGGTGCAAAAGTTTGTGTTTTGATCTTTTGTACTGGTCTTTAAATCTTTTTTACAGTTTAAATCCTTTTCCCGTTGACTTTTGAAAATCCTCAAAGAACCCAATTCCGATTGGATTTCATCAACTTTTGATTTTGACCACCTTTGTTGAACAAATCTGACAACAATGTCTGAGTCGAATCAAACCACACCCTTGATCCAGCCATCATCGTCGAGAAAACTCCCTGACTTCAAGCAGTCAGTGAAGCTGAAATATGTGAAACTCGGTTATCATTACCTAATTACTCATGGGATGTTCCTTTTTCTATCACCTATTGTTGTCGTTATCGCCGCACAACTATCCACATTCTCCATCCAAGATCTACATGACCTTTGGGACCATCTTAAATTCAATCTCATATCTGTGATCCTGTGTTCGACCCTCCTCGTGTTTTTATTTACCCTTTATTTCCTTACTCGGCCCCGCCCTGTTTACCTAGTGGATTTTGCATGCTATAAGCCTGAAGATTCTAGGAAATGTACCAGGAAGATTTTTATGGAAAGGTCGCAGTTGACAGGTGCTTTCACTGAGACGAGCATGGAGTTTCAAAGGAAAATTCTTGAGAGGTCCGGGCTTGGGGAGTCAACTTATCTCCCCGAGGCTGTTTTGAGAGTTCCTCCAAATCCGTGCATGGCTGAAGCAAGGAAGGAAGCTGAGGCTGTAATGTTTGGTGCAATCGACCAGCTGCTTGAGAAGACATCCGTAAAACCGAAAGATATTGGGATTCTGATTGTGAATTGCAGCTTGTTTAACCCAACACCATCCTTATCTGCCATGGTGATCAACCATTATAAGCTAAGGGGGAACATCCTTAGTTATAATCTTGGTGGTATGGGTTGTAGTGCTGGGTTGATATCAATTGATCTTGCCAAACATCTTCTTCAAGTGCATCCTAATTCTTACGCTTTAGTTGTTAGCATGGAAAACATCACCTTGAATTGGTATTTTGGGAATGATAAGTCGATGCTTCTCTCAAATTGCTTGTTTAGAATGGGAGGAGCTGCTGTTTTGCTTTCAAATAAAAGATCTGACTGGTGGCGTTCCAAGTATCAATTGGTCCATACTGTTAGGACAAGTAAGGGTGCTGATGATAAGTGCTTCTCCTGTGTTACCCAACAAGAGGATTCTACTGGGAAGGTTGGAGTTTCTTTGTCGAAGGACTTGATGGCAGTTGCAGGGGATGCTTTAAAGACTAATATCACTACCCTTGGCCCTCTTGTTTTGCCAATGTCTGAACAGCTGCTCTTCTTTGCCACATTGGTGGGGAAGAAATTCTTTAAGATGAAGTTAAAGCCATACATCCCGGATTTTAAATTGGCTTTTGAGCATTTCTGTATTCATGCTGGGGGGAGGGCTGTGCTGGATGAATTGGAAAATAACCTACACCTTTCAGATTGGCATATGGAACCTTCCAGGATGACACTCTATCGATTTGGCAACACTTCAAGTAGCTCACTTTGGTATGAATTGGCTTATTCAGAAGCCAAAGGGAGGATAAAGAGGGGAGACAGAACATGGCAGATTGCTTTTGGGTCTGGGTTCAAGTGTAACAGTGCTGTCTGGAAGGCTCTGCGGACCATAAATCCAGCCAAGGAGAAGAATCCATGGATGGATGAGATTGACCAGTTCCCGGTGGATGTTCCAAAATTTTCAGTCATACAGTAAGTACAAAAGTTTCATTGGTTCGCAGGGATGTGTTTCCGGTGGTGGTAGCAACAGTCTTTGAGTTATGAAGCCTTTACCATGTCTTTGCTTTTGCTGCAGATCTATTAGAGAACTATGACTGATTTATGGTTTTTGTTTTGAACTCCAACTGACCAGTATGAGGACCTTTGCTCATGACTTGAAACTAGGTTATCCTCCATTGAGCAGAATGTAACTTCTATACAATTCATTTATCCTCTTTGTAGCAGTTAGTGTTTTTCATTTCTGGCACCGCCCGTTTTGTTCTAGCTCCCTTTGTGAGAAATGAGAAATCTAATGTCATTACTATAGATTTGCATTCTCGTTACAGACATGGATTTTTATCACAACATTCGACTATGGTTGCCAATTGTAATAGAAATTGAAAGCATATCATCCAGCGTTAGATAAGAATGATTACGCACTGATGATGGCTTGAAAAGTGGATTTTTGAAATTATGGGTGCCCCTAATCAGGATTACCTGTCTCAAGCAGGGCTGAAACCGAGTTTCATCATGCTCGAATTAGAAGGTATATGAGAACTAGCATCTTATACCCCAAATCCCAAGTACACATCGGAATACCCAGGACTAACTGAAACATGGCTGTAAGATTTTAAACATGCAGAGCTCCCTCCGTTCGTGGCAATCATAGCTTTACTAGCTGGTAAATTAAAACTCGCATCTTCTAAAACTTTTTTTAAATCAAGATTTGAGTATAAATTAGCACAACAGTAACTGAAAATATATTCTAGCAACTTTATGTTTAACCTAGAGGATTGTCTCGCAACTTGCAAACTGTCACAAACGAAACCATACATTGTTCAGTTACCACCAGGACGAAAAGGAAACCAGCTATCGTCCAAATGAAAATGGACTAAGAATTATCACGCAATGTACACAACACAGCAATCCATCATGCTGATGCAGTTTTAATAACACAATGGAACGAAATACTATCATTCCTTGGAGGATTTGTTGATTAGCGACTTGTGGATGTGAGGGATCACACCACCACCAGCTATGGTTCCTTTTATAAGGGTGTCTAGCTCTTCATCACCACGGATTGCTAACTGCAAATGCCTAGGTGTTATACGTTTCACCTTCAGATCCTTGCTTGCATTTCCTGCCAGCTCTAACACTTCTGCTGTCAGGTACTCCAAGATAGCAGCAGAGTACACAGCTGCTGTTGCACCCACTCTTCCATGGGCCGTTGCTCTTGACTTCAGCAGGCGGTGGATACGCCCAACAGGAAACTGCAAGGATGATACAGAAGGAAATAGATGTTCAAATCTTTTATGTTTACGGACAACTACAAATGGCTAGCTCTAAAAAGGAAACACTTTGCTGCAAACAGGTCATACGCTTACAAGTCATCGGTCAAGGTCACAAATTCCTAGAACACACTCCTCCCCTACTAGTACACGCAAAAGGTAACAATAATCAAACCCTCGACGCCATGATGGCCAAATAGCAAAAATACTACAATCAGTAGTCATACACAATGATACACCATAGTTGTAACCAAGGTCAAGACTAGAACCTACAACCAAGAAGCAACTATTAGAGAAATTTTATGGTGCTCAAGCTGTAACCAGTGACATCCTATTAGTTACAGCTTGGTCCCATTTATTTGTATACCATGTCATTGAAAAATCCATGTCAAGAAAAAAAATAAATAATCTTCCCTCTTCTTTTCATCCATGTAATGAGAAGTCCCTAAAAAATCACAGCCCATCCTCCTTCCTCTCTCTCACGCAGCATAGCTAGCAGCCCTTCCTCTCTCTTGCATGGTGCAGCCAACAGCCACCACTCTCATTTAGGTCAATCCCAAAACAAATGCCGTTGAAATTTGAAATATCAAGAGAATCTAATTTGATTGGAAAAATTGGGACTTGAATTGATTAAGTAGTAATATTTTATTTTACTAACACGGGAGAGATTTGTTCAAAGGTATAATGGAAAGTCATTAGTGTCCTCTCATGATATAATCTGTTCTAGAGCGGATTATAAATCTTACTAAAAACATTCACCTGATCCCTTTGTTTACTTCTCCCAGAAGCGGGATCGAGAGAAAGCAGGCGAGGAAGAAGACCCAATTGATGTCTTAAAGGCTGTAGGTGAAGTTGGGAAAGGGTTAGTAAAGAGTGTACATTTTCTCAAGGCTCCAGGGCTCATGAATTAAGCCTTACTTTTCTCTAGGCCTATAGGAATCATGAAATTCCTTGTAAGCATTCCTGTTTCCTTGATATAGTAGGCAAATCTAACACAACAGTCAGACAGAAACGTAGTGGTTTGCAGTTGCAATCTGTATTTATGTTTGTTCTGGCAAGTGCAATTTCTCAGAATTTATTTTTTATGTTGCTGACATGGGTTTTTTAATGACATGACATATACTAATAAATGGGAACAAGCCGTAACATATAGGATGCCACTAGTTAAAATTTCTCAACTGTGTTATAGCTGTGTATCTCTCTGAACATGTGATCTAAAACAAAGTTTAAAGTTAGTACGAAATGAGATGCATGTACAACAAGTAGCCTAGGACATCTAAAAGACAACTCATGAGAAGCATATAGAACCTTTTTTTTTTTTTTTGAAAATTTGTGATGAGGTAAGCAACATAGGCAACACAAAAGAAGTGCAAATATATCCGCAGAACTTTAGATAACATCATTAATCTAAGATCAACAAATAACTGATGACCTGAATAACTCTTGGCTCCATGTATCTAAATGCTTGAAATGTTAATGAGACACAAGTACAAGCAAGGAGCATAAGACATCTAAAAAGACAACACTCTAGAGAAGCATATAGAACCAAAAACTTTTTGTGAATTTGTGAAGAGGTAAGCAACATAGGCAATGCAAAAGAAGTGCATATATATCTGCACGAATTTAGATTGATTGATCTACGATCGAAAAATAACTGATGACCTGAAGAACTTTTGGCTCCATGTATCTAAATGCTTGACATGTCATTATTTAATCCTTGACTAACTCAAAGAATCTTTCATGGGTATGTGATAATGCCTAAGCTATTCCAAACTAATCACATTTCTGAAATATCATGCATGTTACAGGACCAAAAGAGCCATCTGTAATACTAAACTTTAACAGTCATCTGGTAAAAAACTAAACAACTCAATGATGCTCTTCGGTAACTCATGAACCACCCAGTTACTCTGGAGAAAATAGATACCTTAAAGTCCTCAAATTTATGCCCCATGAAAAAAGCATAATTGTTCACCATTCTCATCATCCATTTTAACATTTATAACACCAAACTATATTCCTAAATCACACTTACTCCACCTGACCTGTATTCAATTTAACAAATTTCATTTCCCCTCTAACCTCAAGCTAGCCGAGCTCAAAAAAGTCCATATCTGAGTATCTCAAAGGACCACTCAAAATACCTAACAAATCAAGACCAATATAAACTTTTTCATGGACATCAAATGATTTCCGAGGACAAGGATACAAACTTTGTTTATACAGCAACATCCCAAGCTATAACATCAAGTTGTGACAATTTAATGGAAAATACTTCTACCAGCCTCTGATTGTATTTGCATTAAAGAGATTTCTGGAAAATGTGAATTAATCAAGAAAGTAAATTCTTAGGAAGCCAAGGGCTAGTTTTCTTTCAAGAAACTAAATTCTTCCTTTGTTAACCTTCTCTCCAATGGCTACTATTCTCCTTTGAGCCTATTTACATTACATTTGCTTATAATTCTAGTTCTCACTGTTTTCTACCAAATCCTCGAAGTCATCAATGCGGCTGGCATGATAATTTGAGAAAAATAAAGAAAACCCAATATTTAATCTCAATTTCATATAGTTTAGATTTCCAAACTTCAAAATCCCAGCTCCGCTTGGCACAATATTTATCTAGGTCACCTTTAGGACAAGTTCCCCACAATTTCACATAAATCTCTGTTAATTTTCTCTTCACAAATCGATCACTTAGTTAGTTATTCTTAAAAAAAAAAAAAAACAAACACACATTACCACAAAACTTCAATAAAATAGATTAACAAAATCATCGAGGTTTCTCATGTCCCAAGTATTTTAAAAAAAGACCTGCACTCAAAATCTTCAAAAAGCCCCAGCAAAGACCCAGAAACAAGAACCAAAATAAAAAACCATTACGAAAATAACTAAAAAACACTAAATAATCATAACCCTTCGAGCACATACGCAATTAAGATTAAAACAAAAGAAAAAACTCAAAAAACCCATCAAAGGAACCAAAAACAAGAAAAAAAACCTGAAGACCAGCACGCGAAGAGCGAGAGGTGGGTTTCTTCTTGTCTTTATCTTTAGATTGGGCTGGCGTTTTGCTTGTTAACAACCCCTTTGCTCCTTTCCCCGACATCTTCTCTTCCAAAACCCAAACACACACACAGACTATGCTCTTGTTTTCTTAGACTTTCTTAGATTTGTTCTTTTTGAGACAACGCGAAATGGCCCGAACAGGGAATTCATATGAAGTAAGATGTTAAGGTAAATACCCTGAATGCATCCTATAATTACAGAACCGCCACTGGTTTGTGGAGTTATATATGGATTTCTTAAAGGGTAGGAATGGAAACATGGACCTTTTATTCCTGGGACCAATGATGTGGCCAGAAAAACCCAGTCAGCAGGTGGATATTATGTCGGTTTAATGGCAGTATACGTCCCTCAACTATTATGCTTATTTCACCTTTAACCCTATGGTCTTAAAGAAGGCAATTTAGTCCTTGGATTTTAGATATTTTCTCACTTCAGATCCCTCAAACGTGTTAGAAAAAATTGAAATGATGACTTTTTTGACTTGATTGGGTTGGAGTTGGTGCAGTTGGACACATTATGAACGTACAATGATTACTGTCTGAAAAAAAAACTAAATAAAAGGATGAAAGAAATATATCTTCATATTTTTTTTAATTTTAAAAATATAAAAAATTAATTTAAAAATACTCAAATAAATATTTATTTTATTTTTTTAACAAATATATTTTTATTTCTTCTGAATTTGTCTATTTTATCAGGAAACACTCGCCAAATATAATTTTTTTCAAGTATAATTTATAAATTATTATAACTTTCTTTTTTTATAATTATTATTCATTAATGATGATACAATAAAAGTACACTTTAGTAAAGCATTATAAACCATTTTTTATTAAAAATTTATTTTTTTATGTGTTTTGAATTGTTTCAATTTATTAATTATAAAAATAATTTTTAAAAAATAAAAAAAAATATTTTAATATATTTCAATTTAAAAAACATTATAAAAAATAATCATAACCAAACTCTCAAATATTTACTAATAATATTATTATCAAAACCTCATGTGAAGAATCCCCCCCTTAACATAAAGATCCTATCTATAGCCTCGAATTTTCGAACAAATCAAAAGCTATAGCAAGGTTTTATTTAAAAACACGGGTAGAAATCTTGATGTCCCACAAAATCCCTTTACAACATCTCATTAAAAAGTACTTTTTTATTTTATATTTTAAAAATATATTTTTATAAAAAAATAAATTATTATTTAATTATTATTTTAAATTAATTTATTTATATTTTAAATTTTTTAATGCATTGATGTCAAAAAAAAATTTAAAATAAAAAAATATTATTTTAATATATTTAAAATAAATACCTTAAAAAAACCATTACCACACCCATAATTTTTTGATTGCACGTGGAGACCTCACCTCTATCATATTAACAATGAACAATGTCTCCTAGACACTATAGTTTTAAATTTTATACTACTAAAGATCTTGGAAAAAGAAAAAGAATGCAAGAGTTTAGAGAATACTCACACACAAGGTAAAGACCTTGCACGAAAACAAAGCAAGATTTATACTGCAGCTTCACCACCATCACACGCCACCTTCACCGTCACATCGCCACCTTCACCTTCAACAAGTTATTGAATTTTTTATTTGTTTTTATATTTTATTTTTCATCTTAATTTAATAAAAATACATGTTTCTATTATATTTATAATTTAGCATACGCCCACATGGCCCGAAGCTAGGAGCGTGCTTGAGCCATTAAAGAGAGAGAGAGAGAGAGAGGAGAAGAAGCAGCAAGAGCTAGGAGCGTGCTTGAGCCATAACTTTTTTTATAATTTTTTTATTTTTCAAAATGGACTGATTACGCGTAGCTCATATTGTTATGGCTCCCTGTGTTAGAAATATACCATGGCATTATACGCAACAGCTTCACCTTCTCTTTACAGTCACTATTCTTCTGATCACAACATTTGATTCTGACAGCCAAATGTAATAGAAGTTGACAGCAGACCATACAATATTGGGATCAATAATACCTGAAACCGAGCCTTCGCAACATGCATCTTATAACCCCCTCCCACACCCCAAGGATGCATCAAAAAGTTCAAGAATAAAGGAAACATGGTTTCAAGACTTGAAACCCTCACAAACAGCTTTCTTTGAGGCAATCTTAGCAGCACTAGCAGCTCATAGAAGCTAATATTTTTTAGAAATGTAATAGCCGTTGTTTTTGAAACGCAAAAACATTCCAAGTTAAAGAGATAAAACTAGCTTATTCCAAGACATTCTTTTGTTTAAACTATTTTTATTTATCACAAATTTGCAAGCTGTCACAAACGAAGCAATGCATTGTTCAATTACACAGCAATCCATCCTATGTGTTCTTAATAATGCAAAGGACTGAAATAACATTATTCCTTGGAGGATTTGTTGATTAGCGACTTGTGGATGTGAGGGATCACACCACCACCAGCTATGGTTCCTTTTATAAGGGTGTCTAGCTCTTCATCACCACGGATTGCTAACTGTAAATGCCTAGGTGTAATACGTTTTACCTTCAGATCCTTGCTTGCATTTCCTGCCAGCTCTAACACTTCTGCAGTCAGGTACTCCAAGATAGCAGCAGAGTACACGGCTGCTGTTGCTCCCACTCTTCCATGGGCTGTTGCTCTAGATTTCAGAAGGCGGTGGATACGCCCAACAGGAAACTGCAGGTATGATATAGAATGAAATAGATGGTCAAATATTTTATGCTTCAAGACAAGTATGAAGGGACAAAAAAGAAAGACGGAAAAATAGTGATAAGCTTGCAAGTCATTGATCCATTATTCAGGAATTCTGCATATTCCTAGAACATGCACCCTACTTGTACAAGTAAAGAGCAACAGTAACCGATCCTCAGTGCCATAAATAGTACAATCAGTAGTAATGCAAAATGCCACTCTACAGTTGTAGCCACAAACAAAACTAGAACCTATAACCGAACAACTAGGAAGCAACCGTATTCTAGCTGTGTTTATCTGTCTGCACATGTGTGATCTAAAACAAACTTCAAAGAAAGAGCACAATGAGATGCAGGTACAATAAGTAGCACAAGAAATTGAAAATAAACGGCCATAAGCATAAAAATACAAAGTTCTGATGGTCAAAGAGGTAAGCAATATAGGCAGTGCACAAGATGAGGAAATTATATCCACACTGCTTCAAATAACATCATCGATCCAAAGGTTAACAAACAACTGATATCCAGAGGAGCTTTTGGCTCCATATATCTGACTGACAGCTTGACATGTCTTTATTTAATCTTTGATTAACTCAAAAAGAATCTCTCCTAATTATGTGTTAACTAAATTACTCCTGCCTGGAATTGGTAAGTTCTACTACTTCATACTTGTTCACATTTCTAAAATATCATGAAAATTTCAGGACCAAAATCCAAATAAGCCATCTGTAACGCTTAACTCTAACTGTCAATATGTAAAACCTACCTAAATAAACACCTCAAAGTCCTCAACTGCATGCCCTATGAAAAACATAATTATTCAGCAGAGTATTTGCCTATGTCATAAAAAATATACTGAAAAATAAAAGAATAGCGATCTGACAGATAAAAATGTTAGAGGATGAAATTGAACAAAAAAAATCTAATTTCATAAAATATTTCAAATAAAACAAATAGCAATCAAAAGAATAAAAGCCAAATCTGATAGATAAAAATGTCAAAAGATGATGAAATTAAAAAATAATTCAATTTCATAAATTATTTGAAATAAAATATATGGCTACTAAAAAAACAAATCTGATAAATAAAAAATTTCAATTTCATAAATTATTTGAAATAAAATAAATAACAATAAAAAAAACAAATCTATTAAATTTGAAATAAAATAAATAACAATAAAAAAAATCAATTAAAAAAAAGGTAAAAAACTATATTACTAAATCAGGTTACCCCCCAAATCAATATCCAATTCAATACGAAATCCAGTTCCTCTATTACAAATATCCACCCAAGCTCATGAAATTTCTTGTTGAGCACCTCAAGGAACCAACCAAATGCCCTAACAAATCAACACTCTTCACAACACATCAAAAGATTGCAAAGGACAGCACTACAATCTTTGTTCGTACCAACATCCCACAGTATAACATGTGGTTGCGGCTTTTTATGGTACATTCTTCAATCAGCCTCTGATTGCATTCACATAAAAAGAAATTTATGGAAAATGTGGGTTATTCGAGAAACTAAATTCTTAAGAAACCAAGGGTTGGTTTTCTCTCAAGAAACTCTATCCTTTTTCAGTTTCTCTGCACTTGCAACTGCGTTCTCCTTTGAGACTATTTACACCATATTTGCCTATTATTCTAGTTCTCACTTTCATACCAAATCCTCGGAGTTACCAATTCATCTGGCGTTATAATTTAAGGAAAATAAGGAAAACCCAGCATTTACGCTCAAATTTCAGAAAGTTTCGATTTCCAAACTGTAAAATCCAAGCTCAACAAAGCACAATAGCTATCCCTCAACTTTCACACAAATGTCAATTTATCTTTCCCTTTCACAAACTGATTACTCAATTATAAAGCCTAAAAATAAACATATCAACACAAAATCTCTAAATAATTGAATGAAAAAAAATCACCGTAGTTCCTCGTGGCTCAAATTATTCCAAAAAAAAAAAACTTGCACTCTATATATTTAATAAACCCATGCAAGAAGCCAGAACAAGAACTATAATAAAAAAAATTAAGAAAATAACTAAAAATAACTAAATAATCATAACCCTTCAAGCATGTACGCAATTAAGATTAAAACAAAATCAAGAACTCAAAAACCCCATCAAAAGAACCAAAAAAATAAAAAGAAGAAAAAAAACCTGAAGACCAGCACGAGAAGAGCGAGAAGTGGGTTTCTTCTTGTCTTTCTCTTTAGACTGAACTGGAGTTTTGCTTGTCAACAATCCCTTTGCGCCTTTCCCTGACATCTCTTCCAAAAACCAAACACGCACAGACCTTGCTCTTCTTTTGATAGATTTTCTTCGAATTGTTTTTGGGACCAAGCGAGGAAAACCAAAAGGACGTTTTATATATTGTAGGATAGGAAGTTAAATACCCCTGAAGTTTTTGTAAATTACTGAAATTCCTTCGGCAGTGTGGGAGTTATATTGAGATTCTTTTGAGGGTAGGAATGTATCTCCGTGGGAGTCCCAACATAATAAGAAAAAAATTACAGATTTATATTTATTAAAAAAAATTAGTAATATACTAACATTAACGATTAAAAAAAACTAAAACAGAAGGTGAGCGAGAAAGATACAGCTGGTCACTCCATGGGACTCATGACTCGAATTGCGAGTTTGACATGTTAACTTGAGTTGATTCGAGTTATTTTTTAATTGAGATTTTTTTTAATTTCATCATTTAACATTGAGTTTATAAAAAAATTAGACTTTATAATTTGTTTTGATTTATTTTCTAAGGGGTTATCATGGTTTTATGACCCGGCATGCGAATTGGCAAATCAACATAGTTCTAGAAGTCCAAATATATCGATTCTTTTTTGGTTGGAAAGCTAAAACAATTTTCCAAAACTTTCATAAAGACTATCTATTCAAATTCTGATGTTATCAATGACGTTTTATTCAGACAAGAAGATAAGGATTGTCACAAAGTCAAGAGATGGCCACCCACCCAACAATTAGTCATCAAATCAATAGTTTCAAATTTTGGCCTATAAAATGAGGCATTTAACATGCATTTAGACATCTTAGTGTTCAGATCAAGATCTTATTCTTGCTTTCTTTCTTTGTATTTTTGTAATATTTAAGTTTTGCTTTTATTAATCACTTGTTTATGCTTTTCATCATAAATATGTTCTTATCTAGTTTATTTATGTTTTTCTTCTTTATTATATTTAGCTAAGTTTATAATGTTAAGGTGAAAATGTTTCATTAATAGTGTTAAGATAAGTATAATATAAACTCGATATAGACTTCAATGATTATATCCTAAATAACTTGCTATTAACATAACTTATCATTTTTATCTTATTAATTATTAATACCTTTCTTGTTAAATGGTTAATCTAGATTTGTGTTGTATAACACTTCGTACAACAAATGTTTGATATTTTCATAGCCAACCGTATGGTGGATTTAGTCTTGAAAAAGAAAATGAGTTTTTAGAATTAATAAATTATCTTGGTCAGATACTAGCTGAGAGAAAGATTCATTTAGTATATGGGGAAGATAGCCTTGAGTTAATGAATGGTGTGTCAATAGCTGCATTTTTAGAAGACAGTCAAGTTTTGGGAGTCATTACCAAAGTTTTAACAAAAGGGAAAATCATTAAAAAAATAATTGGAAAGGAACTATAGGTTTCTACAATGTCTGATCAAATGAATGCAATGTTTAACCATATTGATGCCTTCATTGCCTTACCAAGTAGTTTAGGCATATTGAAAGAGATCTTTCATATTTCATTGCACATTCACCATAAACCCATAGGTTTGTTAAATGTTAATGGTTATTATGATAAGTTGTTGTCTTTTCTTGATCATGCTGTGGAACAGGAATTTCTAACATCTTCTGCACGACAAATCATAATCTCTGCTGCTACTGCTGAACAATTGATTGACCAAGTATAATATTTCATCCCTATAATTGATCTCTCCATGAGTCGCATAAATTGGTTAACTAAGAAAAGCCATAAAAAGTTTAGATTGGATTTGAGCCTTCGTTTGTGAAACCTTGTGTCTTTTGGCTTTATTAATAGCATATTATTTTGTTTTGTTATTTCTTATATTTGTTTAAGTGTGTTTTAGATTTGTCGGTGTTCGCTATTTTAGGTGATGTCTTCTATATTCTATCTTTTTACCTTATGACATTGAGAATAATGTCTCGTTTTGGTTGGGGGGAGAAGGTAGTAGTTGAAAAAAAAAGTCTAACTAATCAACTAATTTCTTTTGTTTTTAATAAAATCATTTGACAAAACTGTTATTACTAGAATGACAGAGTAAGGGAGAATTTTATTAACTCTTGAGATACATCTTTGTAAATATTTTCTAATGGTTATTTGCAATATTCATAACAAGGTCTATCACATACTTCTCTTGAAATATTCAGGTTTACAAACTCTTGCATTATTATCACTTGATTTTGTTCTTATACTTATTCAACAAGTATTCTTAAACCTTCATTTTCACACACATACTTGACATATGATTGTGAGTTGCATATTGGATTATTACATTATTTATATTCTTTTGTTAAAGGTAACAACTAAGAGAAAAGGATAATATATAGTTTACAAAAAAAACAAAAAACAAAAACAAATTGATAATATTGATGATAATAAAAATATATATAAGTTTGGTTTTGTAGCCTCCCTAACCTAAGCAATTAAACCCGAAGGGGTATTTTAATACCTAATACACTAAAGTAATTGACTTGGGAGCTATTGACCCAATGCTTGTTATATAGGTTAAAAAGAAAAGCTTAAGAGAATCAAACATTGCATTATCTATGTATCAATATCTGTAATCGGAGTTGATATAACCATATTAGTCGATAGTTTCACCCATATTTAACTAGTGTTTTACCTATATGTTTTATATATAAAATGCCTTGATATTCTTTGTTGTATGTTTTGAAGGCATTTTTGGATGAAAGATGCAAAAAGGAGTAAATTTGAGGTAATTGATAAATTTGACCTTCAGTCGATGTTTTGTGTAGAATGTGAGCTTTATAGGTCAAAATGAAGTAATTACATGGCATTAAAAAGCTAACATCCATACATTTTTGGACATCTAAGGCAAGAAAATAAAATAAGGAAGAGCATAAAAATCACAGCTTTCAAAGTCAAATCTCACAATTTGCTAGTGTTGACCTTTGTACATTCCAACTTGAATATCTAGAGCTGTAGAAGTTCAATTGATGCAAACTTAATTGTTTTGAATTTCTGACTCAAAGGTGTATAAACGCTTAAATTTTTAGCCAAGAATGATGTCATATGAGAGAGATATGATTTTTTAAAGATGAGAACTGAATTCTACTAGCAAACAGGTTTCGTGAAGAAACGAGTCCAAATTATGTTTCGAAGTATCTAAACCGATATCCAAGTTTTATTTTAGCAATTTAGGTCCTCTAAGTCAAATCTTGAAGATTTCATGCAAGACTATTTCTTTTTTTTTAGGAAAATAGTTATTGAAGTAGTTAAATGTAAACTGTCTACTTAAGGGAGGACTATTTTGTAAAATAGAGACTAGGATTTTTCTAGGATATAAAAAGAATGAGAGAACAGAAGGGTGGCATCCAGCCAAGAGTAGAAAAACGCCCTCCCTCCTCTAAGAAACTCGAAATTATGCATTCTTTTTTCTTTTTAATTAGTTGTTCAACAAACATGCAAGACTAAACACTTTTTCTTGGTTGCAAGGACATGAAAACCTTCGGATTTCAAGAACTGTAAGATTTCTTTTACCTTTTCTTTTCAGTTTATATAATAAATATGTTTGTTCTCCTATGCTTATTTTTCCTATGATTGTTTATTTTAATTGTTAAAGCAGATTCTAAGTTATTATTGTAAACAATCTATTGCTAAGTTT